CGCTGGCTCCCGCAATTGAATGCCCCATAATCTCAGTCTCGCGAATTGGCAGAAAAGCGAGCAACGTTACTGTTGGTGGATATGTGGGCGGACATGAGCGAGTACTAACTGTGGATACGGGCGCATCACATACCATCATTCGATCTGATTTGGTCACTAAAGAGGTAAGGCCATTACCTGGAGCAAGGTTGAGGACAGCAACTGGTGAGGACACCCAAGTTGTAGGAGAGGTAACATGCAAAGTCGCAATAGGGAATGTGACGGTGTTACACAAGTTCATAGTCGCGGCGATTATGGATGAAGTCATCATTGGATTAGACTACTTGCTTGATCAAGGTATGAAGATCAACATGAAGAACAGGATTATGACGTATAACAACATGGAAGTGCCCCTTCGGTTTGGGTATGATGGTCCGTACAGCAGCAAGCGAGTGATCTTAGAGGAAAGCGATCAGATTCCACCGAAGTCAGAAGCAGTTGTGTGGGCAAAGATTGAAGGAGATTGTGGGACAAACAAATTGTGGGTTGTTGAAGCAACACAAAATTCTACACCGGACGTACTTATTGGTAAAACCCTGGCTAAGACGCAAAAGGATGGACGCATCCCAGTTCGAGTGCTCAATGAGTTCAAATCACCAGTCAAACTCCGAAGAGGAACTGTACTGGGGCAATGTCGAGAGGTAGAGGCAATCTTCAACTGCGAAAAATTACCTGAAAGCGATTCAATTGGCGAGAATGACATTGCGGAAGACATTAATGCATGGACGGAAGGGTTGGAAGAAAAATACCAGCACAAGGCTAAGGAACTTCTTCGAAGATACTCCAACATATTCGACAAGGATGGCGACAAACCAGGCAGGACTAACGTCGTGAAACATCGCATTGATACTGGCGATGCAAGGCCAATCCGTCAAGCTCCTCGGAGTGTTCCACTTGCCAAACGTGAAACTGTTAGCCAAATAATAAAAGAAATGAGCGAGAGTGGTGTGATTGAACCATCAGCGAGTCCATGGAGTTCGCCGGTAGTACTTGTGAAGAAGAAGGATAGTCAAATGCGGTTCTGCGTAGACTACCGGAAACTAAACGATGTGATGAAAAAGACAGCTATCCTCTTCCCAGGATCGATGACGCTCTGGACTCGTTGACTGGAACAAAGTGGTTCTCAACACTCGACCTTAAGAGCGGTTATTGGCAAGTGGAGGTAAGTGACGAGGATAAGGAGGAGACAGCTTTCAGCATTGGAGACGGTCTGTGGCAATTCACGGTGATGCCCTTTGGATTATGAAACGCTCCTGCCACTTTTGAACGACTTATGGACCATGTGCTCAAAGGACTGCATTGGAAAACATGTTTGGTGTATCTAGACGACATTATAGTATTGGGTAAAAGCTTTGAGGAACACCTGAACAATTTGGAAGAAGTTTTCCAGAGGAGAGCAGGCGCTGGTCTGAAGCTAAGTTCTCAAAAGTGCTCACTGTTCAAAAAGGAGGTGAACTACGTAGGGCACAAGGTGACAACGGAGGGCGTCTGTACTGCGAAGGAAAAGATAGAGGCAGTAAAGGATTGGCCAAGACCTAGGAACCTGCACGAACTACGAAGTTTTCTTGGGCTGTGCACGTACTACCACCGATTTGTTCCGAATTTCACCAGCGTTGCTAATAGCCTCCACGAGCTCACTAGGAAAAATAGAGCCTTCGAGTGGAACAAGGAGCAGGAGGAGGCTTTCCAAACTCTGAAGGAATGGCTATGTACTGCACCTATGCTAGCGTATCCCGTTCCAGGTGCAACGTTTATTTTGGATACGGATGCTAGTGGTTATGCCATAGGAGGCGTACTGTCGCAGGTAATTGATGGGCAGGAGAAGGTAGTTGCCTACTATAGCCGGTCGATTGGAAAACCAGAGAGGAACTACTGCGTAACTCGGAGAGAACTACTAGCGTTGGTGGACTGCGTCAAACATTTCCACAAGTACCTCTATGGGCAACGTTTCCGAGTTCGAACGGACCATGCAGCGCTGAAGTGGCTACTACAGTTTAAGAATCCAGAAGGACAGCTAGCTCGGTGGATTGAGAGACTGCAATGTTATGACTTCGCTATTGAGCACCGCAAGGGAAGTGTCCACGGTAATGCTGATGCCATGTCCCGCCGACCATGTAGCCTGGAATGTAAACAGTGGTCAAAAGCTGAAGGCAAAGAGGACATTATAGACGTTCGTCTAACGACAATAACACCAGCGGAAGAGTGGAAGGAAGAACAGCTACAAAAGTGTCAGCAGGAAGATCCTGATCTGGAGCTTTTGATGCATGGACTGGAGGTGGACAGAAGACCAACCAAGGAGCAAATGGCAGCGGAAGGCCCCATCGCGAAGGCGTACTGGGTCCAATGGAACAGCGTAAAATTAATATCTGGCTGTTTGCATAGGGTATGGGAAAGCGAAGATGGCAAGTGCTCCCGCAACCTGATAGTAGTCCCAAGGGTAAGAATTCCAGATGTACTCAAGGAATTCCACAATGGTGTGGAGGGCACCTGGGAATCACGAAAACCCTGGAGAAGGTTAAGCAGAGGTTCTATTGGTTTGGTTGTCGGCAATCGGTCGCAGAGTGGATTGCTAACTGCGCGGAGTGTATTGCAGCTAAAGGGCCGAAATCCAGAAGTCACGGCCAGATGAAGCAGTATAACTCCGGTGCACCTTTTGAGCGGATTGCCCTGGATGTAGCGGGTCCATTTCCTATGAGCGCACAGGGAAACAAATACGTCCTTGTGGTTATGGACTACTTTAGCAAATGGCCGGAGGTATACCCGATTCCAAACCAGGAAGCTAAAACAGTAGCGGAGGTATTCACCTACAATTGGGTTGCGAAGTACGGTGTACCTACACTCTGACCAGGGAAGAAATTTTGAATCGGCGGTGTTCCAAGAGATGTGCCAGATACTGGGTATCCGGAAAACTCGAACGACGGCTCTTCATCCCCAATCAGATGGCATGGTGGAACGGTTCAACCGAACCCTGGAAGAGCATTTGCGGAAGGTCGTGGACAAGAATCAAAAAGATTGGGATGTCCGCATACCCTTGTTCCTGATCGGATACCGGTCAGCAGTGCATGAAACATCGGGTAAAACTCCTGCAAGGGTAATATTCGGCAGTGAGCTCCGTTTGCCTAGTGATCTGAAGTTTGGGGTGACTGGTGATGTTAGAAGAATTGGAAAAGAGACGTCAAACATCCTGGAAGAGGAGCTGGGAGAGATACATGCTCTTGTGAGACAGCGCACGCAAATTATGAGTGACAAGATGAAAGCCAGTTATGATAAGGAGATGAATTTTGAAGGTTTCCAGGAAGGAGATTTGGTGTTGCTGTACAATCCACAACGAAAGAAAGGTTTGTCCCCAAAACTACAATGCAACTGGGACGGTCCGTATAAGGTCGTAAAACGGCTCAATGACGTAGTGTATCGGATCCAGACCGTTGGGAGACCAAGAAACAAGATGATCGGGACGATCAGACTTAGGTGGAGGGCAGTGTGGCGAATACTGCGGCAACACAAAGCGAACAACGAGAAATAGGCAGAATGTTCGAGGAATGACATAGAATGTTCCACAAAGAGAAACGTCAAGTTGGATGAACACTGCAACAGCGAGAGAAAGAGAATGAGCGATAAACTTCAGAATGTTCTAGAGTTGCCATAAGTGTCAGCGCAGGTATATAAGGGCGTCGCCACAGCGAGGTGGGACAGTTACAAGTCAGCAAGCTACAAGTAAAGTGAGCGGAGAAGTGAGTTGCGAATAAGCAAGCTATAAGTTTAATTGTGTTGACAAGTAGTAAAGCGTCGTTATTGCTTTAACAAGTATTGTAAAGTGTTTTTACTGTATTAGCAAGTATTGCAAATTGTTTGTTGTACAATAAAGTTAATTGTACTAAAATTTGGTCATCGTTAGCATTTATTTAACAATCCAGCGATACGAACCGAGAGATTTGGGAAATCCGGACGAGGTTTGAAGTTGAAATTAGCCGAGAACGCAGAACGTATACTTAAACGCAGTCTGTATACGCAGAATTTTGTCGATTACTGGAGCCCTCAGTGTTGCTTACTACACTGTTGCCACTGTTCAATGCCTTTTCATAAATTTACCCTTTCAACTACAATTTTTCGTGCTATAATAGATTGTAGCTAAATATAAACTACTTAGTTTTCAACAAAAACCTTATTCAATAGTAAATTTAAAATATTTGAAACATATTTTGAGTATGAACTTATAACTTTTTTACCATCTGCAAAGCTGATGAAGTGGCAACCATATAAAGAAGGAGAAATCAGCTGACACGGAAAAATCTAAATTCCGCAGATTTCTGCGCTACGGGCTACAACTACAGAAAAA